TCGCGAGGGGGGGGGGGCTATCAGGGGTCTGAGGTGGGGTTGGGGGGATGTCACCCCAGACCCCTCAAAGCCCGCCCTTCCAATAGTCCAGCTCTGCTGCCCCCGGCTTCCCAGATTCAGCTGCTGGTCAGTTTCAGCAGGGGCTGAATCGGGGAAGCTGTGCGCAGAGCAGCTCCAATTGTCCAGCTGCCCGGAGCAGTTCTGGGTTCCCAATGGTGCCGGACCATCAGGAGTGCCGGAGCATTGGATGCCGGACCAATGAAGTTTTACTGTACAACATTTTGTATCCACGCAGGGCTCTAATTCAGTTCATTCAATTGGCTATCCACCAGGATCTCCGGGGCTGAATCGGGGAAGCTGTGCGCAGAGCAGCTCCAATTGTCCAGCTGCCCGGAGCAGTTCTGGGTTCCCAATGGTGCCGGACCATCAGGAGTGCCGGAGCATTGGATGCCGGACCAATGAAGTTTTACTGTACAACATTTTGTATCCACGCAGGGCTCTAATTCAGTTCATTCAATTGGCTATCCACCAGGATCTCCAAATTACTTTCTGAGTCAGTGTTTTGCCAAGTATGCTTGCTGATTCTGTACAGGTGACTTGCATGGATCTATTTTGCTTCGGAAGAGTGTCAAGCTAACTAGCCTATATTTCCCCAGATCATTCTTTTTACTCTTTTAAAATGTTGGCACAACATTAGCTTTTTTCCAAGCCTCTGGAATTTCTCAAGGATTCCAAGATTTGTTCAATATACAGCTAATACAGGCTGCCCACAACTTGCAACACAATCGGTTCCGGGAATAGCGTTGCAAGTCGGGAATGTCATAACTCGAGCCCGCATTTATGACAGGTGTCGTACACCGTCATAAATGCGGGGCTGCGGACCTAAGTCGGGGGATTTCAGCCCCTTTCACACTTATGGAAAAGGTCGTAAGTGTGAGGGGGGGTCATAAATCGAGCCATAGTAAAGTGGGGCGCCTCCTGTACCTTTAAATATGCTGGTTATAGATGTCCATGATTTTTTTTAATGTTACTTTTTTACCAAGTCTGATCTACATTTTGTTAAAACTCCTGTCATCAGCCATTTCCTTGTCATACTGGATTATTATATTCTGTCACTGACTGAAAGAAGCTGTTTCATTTCAGATGAATCAGCTGTCTGAAAATTGACACACATGCTGTTGGTGACCTGAAACCTTCCAAGTAAAATGACTTGCTTTAAGTTAGCAGTTTCCAATACAGCTTCAAGTATTTTGCATTTCACATCCTTTTTCAGACCCTTCCACCTCCCACACCTTTCAGCTTAATTCCCAGGAGGCAAGCTTTTGTTTGAGTATGTTAATATTTCCCAAGCATGCCACTTGAAAACAGAGTACTTTGCTTTGTTTTTGTCAATCCACAATAGGGCTCAGTTCTCCAGTTCCTTCTAGCAGAGCTCAGATACAAAGTGTATGTTGGGTGAATAGATGGGAGAAACAGGGTTAACTGCAATTTCTTGATTCAGACACCTGGCTGCAGCAGAAATTAGAGCAATAGGAAGTGTACTCCAATCTCTGCCACTGGCGTGCAGTCACATTATACCAGTAGAGGACGTAGAGAAGTGGCTCCCTTTTGCCCACACTCCATTCCTAACATACCCCTGTATTTCTCCAATGCTGGGGATGTTAAGAAAAGCTGGTGCAGGAAATATCAAAATGAATGAAATAGCTACAGTATATTCACTGTTGAGACACAGATTCCTGCCAGAAATTCACATTTTACCACCCAAGAAACCCCCAAAAAATCCAAAAACAAACCAGAAGCATCTATGCAAAATTGTTGTATCTCAAGGCAGATGAAAATGTCATGCTGCATACATTACAAACTCCAAGCGAGGATTAGTTTATTTGCTGAGAATGAAAGCCTCCATTTCTGAGCTACTAATCTCCAGAGATGCACCAATTCAGCAAAGCTCAAAACAGCTGTTGCTGAGAGGGAGGAAAAGGTATTAATCTAAGGTATACAAAAGGCTGGCAGAAAAGCAATCTGTCCTCATTGTTGGTCTTAAAACTCTTCCTGATAAAAGAAAATGTTCTGATATGTAAATACAGAAGTGTAATGGTGTTTCTTTTGGAACTCAGGTGTCTTCAGGTTGATAAGTTACTCAGATCAAAGCACAGGACTCAAAAAATCCTGGCAGTTTAAGATAATCTAATTGTCCAATAGACTTCTGTCTGTTATGTGACTAGCATTCAAATCATCCCTGTGCAAAGACAGTTTAGGTCATTTTTTTAGCTTTGCAGAAAAGTACTTTGTGACCCACTGTGTAAAGAGGGTATGTGTGCCTTTAAATGTGTGGCGGTCAGATACTATGTTTTATAAATTACTCCTGCACTGCCCACTTGTGAATTCTCAGAGCATGTCTACCTTGTGCCAATCAGTCCCTTGGGGGTCTATTTAGCAGGTCTTGTGAGGACTAGGGATGTTAGATAGTGTGCAATTAAACAGTCATGTAACTGCATCAATGTTAGTAGTTGCATGACTATTCAACGGTCCACAGGGCAGGGCCAGACGCCAGTGCTCTCCTGGCCCCACTGCTGAGGAGCTCCCTGACACCTGCATTGCTGCGCCTCTATCAGAGGCAACAGCATGGGGGTGGCAGTTGAGAGCTGGTCCATGAAGGGAGCAGGTTTAAAAACCAGCTTCCTGTGAAGACTTAGCTCCTGTCTGCCACTTCACACTGCTGACTCTGATACAGAAGCAGCAGCACAGGGTGGGCAGCAACCCCAATCCATAGGGGAGTCTGAGCAGCACAGCAGCAGTATGGGGGGGCAGCTGGCTCCATAGAGCTGGTGGTTGGAGGGAGCTCCCCCCCGCACATTGGCTCCTGCCTGCAGGAGGAAGCAAAGGGGGGCAGGCGGGTCCACAGAGCTGACACGCATGGACATCTGGCTTTAAAAGCCAGCTTTAACTGGCACCCGCCTGCCACCCTCACCCTCCATGCTGCTGCTTCTCTATCAGAAGGAGGCCCTGCGGATCCAGTACTCGTAGGGAACCAGCTTAAAAACCGGCTCTCCACAGGCACTGGCTCCCCCGTCTCTGCCCCGTCAGAGAAAATAAAACACGGAGGAAAAAATTCAGCCATTGGGTAAGCTGACACAACATTGATTCCATGGAGAGTTGTGTCAGCTTACATCAAGGGTGATTTCAGCCTGGTAGATATTACTTGAAGGTGCGTGGGTACCATCAAAATTACATGGAGAGATTGGAGGCTGTAAACTGATTTTTAAAGAGAAGATGCATTTCCCATACACAGAAAGATTTATACAATATACATTTTTTTAAAAGCACTGACTTTACATTGTAAATGTTTAGTATAGGATTTCTTTCCTAATAAGCAATGGAGCGCCAGGAAGCAGGAAAACATTTTGACATAATCCACCTAGAATGTTTACATGAGGATGTAACATGTTAAACCAATG